ACATTGCTAGTTACTCGTTACGCGTTCAGTAACTGATTAAAAATTAGACCTAATTAGACAACTTTGGTATGCACACTCTACTTTCGATCGATTAGGCATTTCTCTTAAATCGTCTTTGGAGTAGGATATATTCACAGAAAGATGAAACAGGAGTTTTAATTAAATGCAGCGTATATGCATAGAAACACGAAGTTCGAAATTTTAGTACGATTAATTGATAAATTAAACTTATCAATCTTATTACCTGGAAGTTCCAGATAATAGGCTGTTACAAACGAAATGGTTTATTAAGTTAGTTACTGAACTTTCTACAATTAATTTCGGGGAAAATAATATTTATTTCAGAAAGTTCGCTCGAAAATAATTAATTGATCACGGTTCCATTTCAGTAGGATATTTTAATACATTTCAGAGATTTATCTTTGAATAAAATTTGCTTAAATAATTCATATTGTTTAATCATTTTTTTTAACTTTAACCCACGACACCTTTGAGTAATTCGAACAATTTTTTAATAATTTATTATACTATTATAATTGTAATGAATTAAACAATATTGTTGTTGTACAGTAACATGCGATTTATTATAATATTTGTAATAAATTAAAGAAAATTGATGTTGAATAATATTATGTGATTTATTATATTTGTAACAAATTAAAGAAAATTGATGTTGTATAATATTATGCGATTTATTATAATATTTGTAACAAATTAAATAATATTGATGCTGTATAATATTATGCAATTTATTATAATATTTGTAATAAATTAAATAACACTGACTCTGCTTAATATTATGTAATTTATTATAATATTCATAATATTTATAATAAATTAAATGACATTGATGTCGTATAATAACTTGCAATTTATCACAGTATTTATAATTTAGAATCATAAATAATATAAAAAAAAATGATAACAATTGCATAATCACATTTGGGTTCTTTTCATTTTTATCATAGTTAGAAATATTTAAATATTCACAATATACTTGTATCTCGCATATTTGTGACTATTTAATACAAAATATAATAAACTATTACCGTTGTAGTAAAAATGCTTTTAAACCTAAAAATTTTCTTCAAAACAAAATTTCTCAGAAGTTAAAACCACAGGAAAAATACTTATTGCTTTCAAAATGAGGAAAAATTTGTAAGATGATATTATTTGCAATTATTTTGTATTAAAAATGTAAATTAAAATTTATTCAGTCAGAAATAAAATCGTACCATTTAATATGCAACAGCCTACCATGAACATAGAAATTATTTCCTAAATTTCGTCGCATGTTCTCATTAGGTCGTTCATCGATGTTACATAATTGTCATATTTCTTCGAGATAATAAATAATATACATATCTTTGCAGAAACTGTACAGGTTACTTTTACCGAATAAGTGCATTATCCTTATTCATTTCTAGATAATCTTTATAACCTTGCCATTATCAAATCTCAATACCGCGTATTGTCGCAAATATTTACACGTATTAAAATAATTACACATTCAAGTTACGTATAATCAATATATCTACTCGATCTTTAGCCTTCTCCTCGTCCATATAATTATATCTGTGTATTTATACTTGTATGGACATCGTGTGTAAAGTTTCATACATCTTATTCGTTTAAACAATATATTATGAATTCGATATAACACGAAGAGTAACAAATATAGTCTACAACAGGGTTGCATAATTCAGGCATGACCAAATTCGTTTGTTCGTGGTGTGACCAAAAAGTAGGTATAACAAGATGCAACACTGTTAGAATATAGCAATCTAAATTTAAATATTGGCGCCAACTGGCGAACGTCTGAGGGCAGGACTTTTTTACCACGATCGTAAAAACTTTCGAAAAAACGTGTTACTGAGTCTTCTTTGTAAAAGCGGTATATACCATGAGAACGGTAAATTATTATTAAGAAGAATATTACTATTATTATTACAAAAGTCTGTATTATTAAATAATAATTAATAAACTATAGAAAATTTTATAGTATCTAAAGTGTTAAAATTATTTTTCTTCTACTGCGTGGTGCCAACAGACACTCTAAGGAAGAAATTACTTTCAGAGAGATGCAATAATAGAACTAATTTAAATAACTTTACAATATGGAGTGGGATTTTAACATGTGATTCTGAAAAATGTGCACAGTGTATAAGTCTAGTGTTCGGCAATATGTGCACATTCATTTGTAATTTATTCGTACTTTATTTGTAAGAAATACGTTGTTATTTATTTGTACTTTGTAACACATTCACCGGTAATTTGTAATAAATATTTTGTCATTTCCTTGTAACACATTCGTCTCTATTTTCTTGTAATAACTTCATTTATAAGTTATTGTAATTTAACATTATAAATTATTTATAATAATTATTTTTGTAATATATATTCTTCAAATATATTTTGTACAGTAATCATTTTATATGCCTCTTTTTTCAACTGTTCAATATAAGATTGATGTAAATATTAAATTAGTAGTATTTAAAATATTAAGGTAATATAGGTCATATTAGTACCTAATAATACGAAAAGTTAATATTAGCAATTTGTAGAAAATTGACAATAAATAGATTTTTGATTACTGGAGTTCGATATGAAATTAAATTTATTCGATTTAAATTTCCCGCTCGTCTATAGAACCAATTTTAAAGGGACAAGCTTTGAAGAGCTGAAGTACTTACAGTGTCATCTCCTGTACCTACTCTTTGGCATGATCATATGGTTTAGGAGTCTACCATATTTTTCTGATTCCACTGACAAGAAATGCTATTGATGGTAAAATTGCACAGAGTTTTGAAGTGGATCGAAAGTACTTGTCAAAGTATTTGCACAATGAAAAATGGCATCAGAAATTAATTTAACATTGAATTGTCAACAAAAATCCGAAAGAAACGCAAAATGTGAGTGAAGAAGAATGAGTATGTTGAACTTATGTTTGTTTTACAGAAATAAATTAAAGTAATTGAAAGATATTGAATTAATGATTGACAGTAATTGCAAAAATGAATGATATTAAATAGTGATAGTAAAATTAATAGTAATAAGAATAATAATAGTGACTAATAATACTAATAATAGTAATAAGTGCAGTAACTATTTATGACAATTTCTTACACAATGAAAACGTTCCTATCGTAGGCTAAACGCTCCTATCATATTTTATCGAATGATAAAATATATATCATTCGGTAAATTGCAGAAAAATTTTATAAATTGTCTCTGGCGTTTTAAATGTTTGAACATATTATCTATTCGCCTGAATTTGCACGTGAATCTATTTTCCGTAGAATTGAAAAAGGCTGTGTTGACAATTTTAAAGAAATTTATAACTTCACTTTAACGACACTTCAATATAACTTGGTACAGTACTTTAATATGGTTTTCTTGCTTCGCAAAACGTGAAACTGCATCTCTCCTTTTCGAATCTTGTGTATAGAACTGTGTTCAAAAGCAATTAACATTTTATCAATTATTTCTCAATAACTATATCATAAATTAATTACAGATGTTACAAGAGAGTTCCTTGTATTGTTAATAAATTTTGCTCGATATTTCATAGTGATCTTGAATTTTAATTAGTTTTCATCTGTTTTTTCAATCTTATCATCTTTGCTGACCTTCCAAAGTCAGATTAGCTTTTGGAAGCATTTTAAATTTACAATTCTTTAACCTTTATGATAGTACTTTCGATTTGCATAAAAAATTTTAAGTAATTTTAATATTAATGAAACATTGTTCCTTACAAGCGATAGAGAAACAGCTTCCATTATATTTCAAGTATCTTTTTTACATTAGGTAACTATGGGGAATAAGTGGTCAAATAAATAACCTAAAAATGCTGAAGATAACTTGTTGGATATAACAGGTTATGTACCTCGCTTTTGTTGTTATTGTGTGGTTTGTCTAAGTATTTTTACGCTTGTCTAATGCAAAATTCGTCTGAATACGAATTCTATTGGTAACATTTTCGAAAAATACAAATCATTCGAATGTAACCATAGTGGTGTACGGTAATTATACGTAATATGGAAGAGTGTCTCATATGGAAGACTGCAATGTCTCAAAAAGTAAGTACAAATTCGATTAACAACCGTATAAAATATATCGTTACAAACAAAAGACGGCAAATATGGACAAAAAGTGACCCAGCCCCATGGTCTTGACATATATATATATTGTTAAGAACATGTTCTTCAGTAACTTTTCCTTATAACTTAATCGTCATTCATTGTTCATTTAACATTAAAAATTAAAAATCGAAATTTGCTTGTAATTTGACAACGAAAAACATGACGATTTGGGAAGTGATTTAATATTTGGAGCCACACATACCGGAGGGGTGGGGTACATAATGGGTGAATTCATAAATCATATAGATATCACTTAAATTTCACTTCGAATTTCAAACCGTGGAACCAGAATAATGTTTTAACCCAACTCACCTTAACATGTTTTATAATACAATTAAAAATAAATATCAGAGAATGAATACCATGAATTACAAGACATGCTAGGTTGAGTTAGATTGGTTGAGGTCAGTATTTTAGTTTCATATTTTTCCAAATATTTTTTGTCAATAACTTTGCAATAAATAACAAACGCTAATTAAGTTATAAGAAAGAGTTACTCCATGCGTCGACCTCGACAACATATGTCAAGGTCAAGATCATTCTAGTTGCGTCCCCTTTTGTCAATATTTTCCATAAAGATAATCATATTAACATTTGAGCTTTATGTTAAAGTGTGTCATTAAGTGCGAAATATTGTTGCGTTTTATAGTACTTACAGTCTTCTATAAACCAAATTAAATAATTAAATGTATCAATAAAGATACGTTGTAGCGCTGTTTTCTGTTGTTCAATAAACTTTTTGATGATCAGGAGCAATTCTGATTTATATAGGATTACAGAAAATTTTGAAATGAAGAAACTTGGGGATTTGCAAATTAGGCATTTGCAAAAATTTGAATGTTTAAAAATTCAGTTTGATGTTTTGGAATTTGCAAATTTGGTAATTTGAGATTTTAGAAATTTAGAGATTTGGAAATTTAAAAAATTGGTAATTTCTAGTACAAAATATCAGACATGCTTCCTATTAATATTACACGATATAAATTGTTCTTGACTATTTTAAATGTATTATAGTTATAAAAATGGATGAAAATGGGACTAGTGTATTCATATTTTAACAGTGTGCTCAACACGTAGAAGATGAACAAAAGTATGTAAGATGCAATTTAAAAAATGGAAGACATTTGGTCACTTGTCTTGTGTATTTAAGCAAACATCAAAGTTTTCTCATTTATTTAACAAATTTTCTATGTGTTCCATATTTGATACCATTTTTCCAATTAATCACTTTTCATTATTTTTATATTTCTTTCCATAACTGCACTCAAATCAAATTGAGCACAATTTTGCATAACTAACATTTAACATACAGATAATTATTAATTTTGTAATGTTTTATCATTAGATCAGTTAACAAGATTTTTGCAAATTGTTAAATGAGATATTCCATATTAGGTATAGTTACCTTAATTCACTTGTTACATCTTGAAGAATTCACATTCAGAGCTGGAAAGATTACGTGTGAAAAAAGACACAAGTCCTATTAGTTATACTGTCGTAAAATTCACTTATTTCCAACACAATATAATTCACATATTTTCATCTTTTACCAAAACGATCTACGAATAAACTCATGTACTTCGAAAGAATCAAGCATCAGTATCTACAGTAAATATAATATTCTCTATTGCATGTGTATAATTCCACAGGCAATCTTTTCAGCTGTAAATAGTCCTATTAACCTCATGCAACTCAAAAGCGTAACACGAATCGTGAACGAAGTATTTCTTTTTTACCTTTGCGTTTTTTTCGGTTCTGAAAAGAATTCTATTGTTTCCAGACTCTGTCTCTCCACAGTCTCGATATAAGCGAAAATAATGTGTGCAATAAACGGGAAAAATTATTTTATATCGAGACTTTACATGTAAAAGTACCCGAAAGATTTGCTCATATCGAGACTTTACGTATTTCGAACGCATACAGTAGCAACTCGCAAATTAATTTGTAGGAATACGAGTTAACTGATGGTAGGGAGGCAGACTATCAGGTAGTGGGAACCGTGTAATTGTCTGATGGATGAAAGAAGGGGGTTGGGGGCACTTGGTCATGCCTGGCATAACTGATTGCTCTCGAGTAACAATTCTACTCTAGAGTTGCTCCCACAGTGAGACTAAGGCTGACTTGCTCAGACCGTAGTGGGAATACGTCTCTACCGTAGCTCTAGCGATCGTCTTTTATCTGAGTAACTGCAGAAGACGGAGAGAAGCAAATATGGAAGAAAACTTGAGATGGAACCAGAACAAACGGCCAAAACTAACCCTTTCACCTACAATTTTAGTTACGTTCACTAATTATTATTAAAATGTTGAAAGAAATAAAGAAACTTAAAACGTTAAGTATATTTATCGAACCTTAATTGTTCATATTACGCTTAATGTTTAATTTTAAATTGTGATGAAAATATGAATTTGTCACGTTTGAACTGTAAACGACACCATATATGAGGTTAAGTAAAATAAATGAAGTATACAGAAACTGTTTTGCATGAAACTGATACTCGTTTATGAAAAGGCAGAGAACCACTGATGTATCGGATACAGAATTATTCCCATTACGACTCGAGTGAGTCAACCCGAGCTTCATAATGAGGATAATTAGAGGGGAAAGCTGTTGCTCGTGAGCAATCAGTTACACAACTTTAATCTACAATACGACTTCAAATATCACGATCAAATCTTAGCTTTCCCTCTATTCTTTTTATCATCTTTTTTTATAATTTCTCATAATCCGTTCAACAAACTACCAAAATTTTTGGCGTTAAATCTCGCTCACGCTAGCCGCAGATCAACTAAAATTTCATCACGGATACAAATGATATTCTAAACAGTTCGTACAATATGTATACCTGTATATGCGTCTGTGTATAGGTATGTATACAGAGAAGTTTGGAAACGGGGTTCTCTGGTGCAAATGGTGAACATGAACGCTAGCCGAGCTTCGACAAAGCTCGATTCTTGAGCTTATAAAAAAACAACGTTTAATCTGGACATATGATGTTCTTCAATAAGTATCTTAGGCTTTTAGCAAGACGAAGGGTCGAAATAGCTGGTCATTTTGACAAGCATCTACCATTGGTTTGGGGCTTCCTTTAGGCGGCAATCTGAAATCAAACGTTACGCAGTTTAAATACAATTTTGTAGAAACATTAGTATTCTGCTTTAATCATTGATACAGAATATCTGGAGGCTATTCTGTATGATTAAGTCCTCGTTAACACAGTCGGCCAACACATAGTTCTGTTGGTCTACATAGTACTTCGCATGGAAATAACTATACAGTATACCGTTGTATACAGTTTCTCACACTAATACTCGGTTCTGCAATTATGGAACTTCCTTCTTGTTCTAAAGTAGATCTAAAATTTTGGCTTTAAAGCTTCATCTACTTCACCACACTTTTCCTATCCAAACATACAATACTTAATCTGATGAGATAGGCTGATGAGCCTAAATCAGTCTTTTCTACGATTTATGTCATTGTTTTCTCTTGCTATTTGATTATTATATCCATTGTTTTTCACTATTCCATTTCAGTACTGAGTTTCAGTATATAATTTTTGCAGAATAAAAATTTATTTCACATTTCGAAATCGAACATCGAGTGGTTTTATGCCAGCAAGTTTTAAAATAAAATGTAACAAAAGACTGTGACTTTTAAATGATCTTAAAAGTATGTGGTAGGTAACACATCTAACATGACGTAAAACATTTAAATATTGAAATCACGATACTTTTCAAAATAATTGTTTTAAATTGTTTGGATGCTATAGAATTAACGCAAGTACTAATTATTTAAGTTTCAAATATTAATCGAGTTAAAGTATTTATTAGGAAAATAGAATGTTTTCTTGAATAGAAGAGAGTGTATTTTCATAATGCGTGCGCGTAATACATACTGCGCATGCGCATACAAGTACAGCGTGTGCGTGTAATGCATACTGCGCATGCGCGTAGTGCGTACAGCGCGTGCGCGTAATACATACTGCGCATGCGTATAGAAGTAGAGCTTATATCTTTCAATTATGTCTGCTACTCTTCGACTCTGCTGAAATACCATTTTATACTAAAGTAGAATTATATCCCAGACGTTTGCATACAAAACAGACCTATATCACTGTATACATTTTTTTAAAATAATACTAACTTACAAAAAGTATTCCATTGTCTGAATATTAAGGAGACATGAAAACAATATTTTGTTCAAAATATTTTGTTCAACTAAATATTAGAACACAAAAGCTGTTTTTAATCTATAATGAATGGTCTCTGTAAAATAAGTAACAGAATGTCAAAATTAACTTATGCAAAACAGCAAACGCAGAAATAGTACTGTGTCCAAGTATTAATGTGAATAACTGCATAGTTTGAACTCTCGGGGTAAAAGCTTGGGCACAGAACACGAACGAATGATCTTGTTAAGATGCTGGTTTGGTTCACCAGTATACCTACTGGTAGAAGCCCGTCTACGGACCGGGGTAGAACATGTGTACCATTGATACACACTGAGTTTGCCGCTCGTGGTTCCCATGAGCACGATACTCCTTGAAGGCATCGTGGCTAAAAGACTCATATGCTGAAACGCGCAACGGCACTGTTAAATTTTTCCATCGCCGTCTCGAGGGTAGTGAGCGCTGCTCGAAGTAGCTGATAAGGTGGTATAGGTACACTCAGGTGCAACGTAGGCTTCCTTTGGATAAATTCACATGTACAAACTTGGAAATTTTTAATCTTTACATTTCGAAATTCAAATTTTTTTAAATTTTAATTCTCGTAAATTGATTAATTTCTATGAATCCAAATTTCCAAATTTTTACATTGATAAATTTCTAAGTTCTTAAATTCATGTACTCATATATTCTTAGATGGCCTTCAAAGGCCTATTAATTTAAAGCCTATTAATTCCTAAATCTTCAAATTCTTATGTCTTCACATTTTTAATTCCCTCAATACTTAGATCTCTAGATCCCTTGATTTCAATATCCATCGGTAAATTCTTAGATCACCAAATTCAAAAATTCCCGATTTATGTCCCCAAATTCACAGCTTGTCAAATACGTATATCTTCTAAATCTTGTTCTCAAATTTCTGTAGTTCGTTAAATTCCGAAATTCTCAGATCCCTAAATTCCTACATTTCAGGCTTCCCAAATACTAACATCTCCAAAGCTACAGATGCACAAATCCTAATAACCTCAAATACCTATATCTCCAAATTCTTGAACTCTTAATTCTCTGAAACCATAAATCGGCAAATCTCAAGGTTCCTAACGTCTGAGCACATCCCAAATCTCTAAAATATCCTTAAGCCCATAAATCCCCCAAAATCCTTAAGTATCAACGAGTATCTAACGAGAGCATCTCGGTTGTAACATTTTCTTCAGGTAAGCCAGATTTGCTCTTGCCTGTACCTATACCCAACCGAAGCCATTTCTGGGTTAACCTTAGACTCATTTGTTTGCTCTTCGCGACAACTGTTTGACCTCGTCTAAGAACGTCCCGAGAAGTTATAAGATATGAGCTCTTTTAAAGAACCTTAATCCCTAGAGCTATAATTTATACGGCGGTTGCGTCAATTAGGACTATCTATTCACTGCTTCAATGTTCAAATAACTTTTCATATCTATTTTGTATTTAACGATCTTTGATCGTGCAAATAAATAGACATTTTAAAATTAAAATCTTTGTCTCTCAAAAGAAAGATTTTACATTTGAATTGTGAATGTGGTGCAGGGTTATGAATTTGTTATTGTATGAAGTGAATTATTCTACAGGAAATGGTGAATAGATTTTCCTATTTAATATACAAGTATATACAGTCCTGGACAAAAAGATAGCACATGTGTGCTATCTTTAATTTATGTCGTCATTGGAGTAATTTACGTCTGGTTTAAAAATTTAATAATTGCATAACAATGTATCAGGAATACGATGAAATTATTAATATTATTTTGTAGCGAGGTTTTAACAGTTTGTGCTTTTATCATGATCATTTATCAACACGAATATTTTATTCAGCGACGTGTTACAAAGGTTCCTTATAACTTCGGAAGTTACCTTCAAATTAGTTTTAATGACTTTTCTGATCTTATTGTACTGTTATGATTCTTGTCTTCACAAACTTTTCTTGTCATCTCTACTTGTTTTCTGAAACTTCTTTTGCTATCTCTAAGTGTTTAATAATGTTTAAATTTGAAAATATGCACGGCCATTAATTTTCCGTGTGATTTCTTTGTTAGAACTTCCTATCAAGAAAGTTTAAATTTTGCTGATTTCTTAAGTAAGCTATTTATTCTTGTAATTTTGTATAACATTATTAACAAACACTTAAAAAAATTTGTTATTTGTTCAAAATTAATAAATTGACTATTGAAGGTGATTATAAGTCAGCGAAAGTTGTTACATATTTATATTCGCAGAAAACAGTACCACATTATTGAAAGATTATTAAGTACTATAAATATATATTCATATATAGAATATACAAAATTACAATAATGCGTAGGAATCAACATATACCATTTATTTATTTAGAAAAAATATATACTTAAAAAAATTGCACTAACATTTTAAGTACAAATACGTTTTAACAACACACTTGAGTGAGGTCAAATAGGTGTCGCGCAGTGTAGATAGCGCTAGTGTGCCTGAAACGATGGCGCTAGTGTGTCTGAAAAGATGGCGCTTGTGTGTATGAAAAAATGGTGTTCACTGACAAAAAACTTCAAAGTCCACGTTACGATAATTATTTGCGTTGTGGACTGCGTTTTCCTCAGATTTCTTAAATACATACATCAACTTTCAATAATCACGAATCTTTATTTGTTATTGTATTCAGTTATCAAAAAATCACATATTTAGAAGATTTCTCATCATGACTTAACATCATTATGGTTAATCTTTCAAAAATTATGATTGAATAAATTGTATCACAAAATGCTTGGAAAAAGAGTTACTTTAACAATTTAAAAAAGTTTTCAGAAATATGTTTTAACAGGTTTTACAATACGAAAAACATTATTTTGTAATAAATCTAACGGAAAGGCAAAGATTATTTTGAAATCAGAAATTATTCATACCTTATCTATATAACGGTGCATTTATTTCAATGAATCATTTAAATAGAACATTTATTCTCGACACCAGATTAATAATAGAATTCCATTCATGTGGAACGTGAACATGTTCCGATGTACCTATTCATTTAAAATACGTGAAATACATGTTATAAGTTTTGTTCATCGAAATTCAATGTTTTTATTTTATGATATTTTTAAAATAGCTCTTTATTATTTTATTAAACAAGTTGTTACAAAAGAAATGTATTATGTATTAACTTATTCAGGACACAGTTAACATGAATTGAAGTATTAAAGAGAATTATGTAAACGATTATTATTATAAAACTTGTAAAAATTGCTAACGTAAGTAATTTTTTGAATATTGTGATTACTTTTATTTTCTAATATATTTCACAGATGGAATTTTAAGGAAAATGTCTACTCTAGATTTTGTAATATTTTACATGAGAAACAGATTTGTTAGAAATAGCAAAGTTAATGAGAGGTAATATTTTTCGAAGAATTATTAAAATCAACAAATGAATTCAAACATGTGAAAATTATTATATTATGCATACTACAGTCTTTTCTGCATCAAATCACTACTACTATCAGTAGACAATAGAATTATATATAAATAAACTTATTAAAAATTTCAATACAATTTATTTTTTATTTGTTATACTGCAAGAGAAGTTCCAAATACTTTTCACACCATATGTATTTGTTGAAGAAAATATATTAATCTGATATTAATAAACCACTAATATTTTATCACTGATATTTCATCACGACTAATTATTGATATCTCAGTGCATTGAGAGCAATATTTCTTAAACAATTTTACTTGAGAATGTTTAAAAAACATTGTAAGTATTTTTCTGTTTAACTCAGTTCACACTAAGGAAGTCCATACAGTATCACCACAACTTTTCTTAGAAAGAAAATGCACGAAGTAATTACTCACCTAAAAACAAAGTTACATGAACATACTGACGAGTGCCAGATGCATGACGATTAGGAAGATGTTAATTGACAATTGGCCAGCGAAGTTGCCTGTAATCAAACAATAAAGCGTGTATTAAATTATCCATTCACATTTTTGAATATATATTTTAATTTCGGTAAATTAATTGATGAATAATTTATGAATATGCTGAATTATAATTAGACCTAGAGTAAATATTTACAAAAGTGGATACAGTCGCGATCACGTTGACATGCATTGTCGAGGTCGTCCTGAGTAACTTTTCCTTGTACCATAATCATGGCTCGTTGTTTATTACAAAATTATTAACAAAATTATTTGGAAAAATATAAAAAATTAATCCAAACTGAACTAACTCAATCTAGCATGTCTTATAATTTATGGTATTAATTCTCTAACATTTATTTTTAATTAAGGTGAAGTGAAGTGCAGACTGGTTTTTGTAAAGTTGGTATTTAAACGTAAGTATTTTCAGTCTGCTATATAAATATTTAACGCTGTCGATATCGAACGCTTTGCACAATTATTAGTATTTAATTAATTTAAACTAGGACCTTAATTTTTCTTGTACATTTTGATTTTGATAGGAAATTGTTTAAAATGTCAACTACTCTGCACTTTCCCCGAAAATGGGGTAAGAGCTTAACTTGAAGTTAAATACTTTGAAACTTTGTTTCATGTGCAATGGGCAAGAGCAGAATTATTAATAAATCTGCTATAAAATGCTTTTTACTGCATTATGTAAGTACTCTTAGCTGAAATATAAAAGGGGATATAGTGAAACAAAACAAGGAAACAAAGATACTAAATGGAGAAATTTCGCTCATATTGTAATAAAAATAGCCTGTATATGTATACATTTGCACCGTTTACGAACTTACCCCATTTCACCTTATATTATAAAATATGATCAATTGAATTAGGTTACAATAATATTCAGGTTAAACCTGAAATCCGAAATAATTGAAATCTGTTTGGCTTGACTTATTAATTTACCCGTTTCACGCCCGCGAAAGACGTGGCTTCGAATACTAACCGCTGTTAAAATCATCAAGATTAATGAACAATGAGAGATTAAATTATAAGAAAAAGTTACTCAGCAACATATCCTTCATAATATATGTCCAGGCCAGGGTTATTGGAACTGGGTCCCTTTTCAATGTTTACCGAATCTAATAAAAGTGTTATAAGATATCAAGATATAAGGTTACGATTCGTTGATTGTAATGAAAAAAATAAGGTATAATCTATTTAGTATGCGGGTCATACCAAGTACCATTGTTTTTCTGAAATAAAAGCTGTGATATGGAGCCAACGTATAATGTTATGTTCGGATGGACCTCATACAGAGTAGAAAACGCCATAATTCTTCGTTTAGAGAAGCTTACTTTCAAGTCGGAAAATTTCAGCATTATGTGAGTTGATAGTTTTATACCATTACGATTCACCTATTACAAATATTGAATTGTATTCTTCAGTTTTTTTATCGCATGCCAAATACAAAACTTTAATATTAAGAAAATTATCTCCTTCGAAGTAAAATTAATTGTATTTGGTTACGAAGAAAAGTCGGATACTCAGATTTTTAAATATTAAAATTTAGAATTTTTTAAAAATCAATAAAATTCATTTTCAAGTAGCTATATTTGTCTTTAATGATTCAGAAACTAAAGTAGAAGGTTAACCCCTTACTCTATGATTTATTTGTCAGGTGCGTTACTCAGAACTAACTAACCACAGCTACAATATTAAAACAGACAAAGAAAGTTGAAATTTTATGTCAGTTTGGTGTCAATCGATTATGCAAATAATTGGACTTGAACTCCAAATTGAAGCGTACTGAAAATTTCAGTAACATTAATAACAACTGAAGTACGAGTGCGTCATAAGTCAGATTCATCAAAACAGTACGAGGGGTTAATGTACCTTATTGAATGGATATATTTAAAATGAAATTTTTTGTTAATATCAATAATAAATCTCATTACGTGTAGAATAAATTTCAAATGTACCGCCGATTTTTTTCTCAAGTTGCACCACAAAATGGCGGACTGGGAATCGTAATGGTGAAAGGCGCTCCCATAGAAGTTCTTATAAAATGATAATCCACGTTTACAATTACAAATAATTACTTATGAATACGTCAGTAAACACGTTGATCAAAGTTAAATATATATTTAACTTATTATTGTATACATATATACAATAGGAACTATAACTGTAACTACATTATTTTTGGATAACCTGTATGCATATGTCTACAAATTGAAGTATAGAAAAAAGTCATATGGTTCAAAAAGAAAAAAAATCAGTTAATACGGCCTTACAACGTTTGCAAACGAATGTAATGAATATAACATTTTTATTTAAGAAAATATAACGAATATAATATTTTTCTTTAAAAAGTGAAGTTCCTTTTATTCATTTTTATCAAACTTGAGTGTGGAAAAGTGACTTTGACGTGTGTCATTTCGATAGTAATAGAATGATTCATAAGACATTGCTTTCTCATCAACAAAAAAAGAGTAGTTACGAGCAACGCTAAATCAACATTGACACATTTGTATTATTAATGTATGGACACATCAATATACATTAACAGTAAAAGTAGATTTATTGATGTTAGTAAAAATGGATACAGTGATGTTATCAAAAAGACAATTAAGGAAATACATTCAGGTTGATATAATTCCATTTATGCGTTGTCATGATACGTGAGTAACAACCCTTAATTGGCTTAGACTATTACATTTCTAAACAATTTGCACTCTCATTTAATTACTAAAGAGTGGTTTTTCAGAAATTAAATTTATAATTTAATTGACCATAAAACGGAAAGATCATTAAGACAAAGATTATCAGAGTAAACTTGCCTAATAAGACCCTATGTTATCTTTGTTACACAGTTTTTAAATCACCAATATCTCATTAAAAATTGTACGAAATACAGAAAAATGATTATTATTAAAAAATCATGTTTTTATATCTCCAACAATGGGGCCATTTACCTCAGGTTTTTTTTTACTAGTGAAAAATCAAAAACCTCAATGGATGTTTTATCGAAATGTCGTGGATCAACTTCTCAAACGAATTCGACGAATTAGGTTCGGGCTTTATCGATCGAGCGAGTGGTTCCTCCTTCATGACAGCGCATCCGCACATTTGTCAATCGTCGTCCCTCAACTTTAGCCCAAAAAAAATGTGACCATCATCGCCCAACCAGCGCACTGGCCAGATTTGGCAGCTGTCGATTTTTTCTTCACGTCAGAATAAAGTGGACAATGAAAGGGGCTCGCTGCGAAGATATGGACGCAATTCAACGCGCTATACTGGAGCATCTAAATGCGATTTCCCAGGAGGTGTTTTCCAAGATCTGGGAACTTTGCGAACATTGTACTGACGAGTATAGCGAGATATGTTTCAGAAACTGAATAATAAAATTTTGTTCATCCGCTTTATTGATTTTTTATGGACTTCTGTTATTGATAATCGGTATATAAAAATAAATGCTTTTTAGTACTAGAAAAGTACTCAAAATTGTGGTAGTTGCATTTTCTATTGTAAATATTTATCTAAATTGTATTATAACAAATATGTATTTATATGTATATTGCATATTTTATATTTAATATTAAATGTATAGATATATTATTATGTATATCAATATTTATTATTGATCAATGGTATTAATTATGGTCAAAAGATGAACAGTTTGTTACGTTCCGAACAGGAATATTTTTCAAAATTTGCCTTGTAGTTCTCACCGACTGGATGTGTATCGATAATGCATATTGCATTCTGGGAACACCCTGATCATACGCAGTAACGGTCTTTAATGTTATTAGATAGACTAACCTTTGGTGTCTAAACTAAGATTGTTAATATAACACATTGCTTCCTTGAAATCAACGTGGTCCCACGGCCAAAATCTTAGGGGTCATTCCACGCCAAATCGATCACTTTTGGAAGCCACCATCTCCGATTTTGCTCTAATCGAAATATGTTGTAGTCCATGTGAAATTAGGGGGGGTTTAAGTCATCATTTTTCCGGTTTCGCATTTGTTAATGAATGAGCTCTAATCGAAATATGTTGTAGTCCATGTGAAATTAGGGGGGGTTTAAGTCATCATTTTTCCGGTTTCGAATTTGTTAATGAATGACAGGTCGTCAAAGTTTGCAATTTTTGCCCGTTTTGGTGAATTATTACTTCATAATAAAGTATTCTAAAGAAGAAAAGATGGACAAGTTATCAGTTTATTTTAAAGCTGGGAAAAGTGCTACACACGCAGAAAGATTATACACTACGGAATGTTAGTAAGTCATTAATTTCTCGATTCAGAAAGAGTTCTTATGCAAATGGTTACCACATTGAACCTTTTCTGTAAATAGACATTAAAATTAAAATATCTCCTAAACTAATGATTTTTTCATATAAACAGATTAATACTTTTATGTAAGGAATATGAAGGAGTATCAGTTGATGCAATAGAAAATATATGATTCCATTTAAAAAACATTGATGACCTTCATATGTCCTTTACACGTCCAGCTACAAAAAAAAATATATTACCAGCATATGCCCCTCTCAAAAACGTTCAACTTCATCTAAAACATTGTTTGCTATGAGTAATAATAATGACGCAAATCTAGATGGCAAAATGTGGTGAGCCACCCTGTATATAAGCTATACGTTCAAGTATTATTGTGACTCTCTTTTCGTAAATTTCGTCAACAAATGCTCCAAACACCATGTGATTATACAAAAATAAGTAAAAAGGATATTCCAAGACGAAGTTTACCCTGAAATATTATACTTTAACAATTAATTTTGTTAGGGCAAACAAACCTTCGAGGCCTTATGCGCGCGCTTCCCGCACGTAACAAGTTCAATAAAAATATGCTAAATGTTGATAAAAATACCAAATGATATTTAAATATCGATACAGTAAATTTTTAGAGGGTGAGAAAAAAAAGCAAACTTTTTGTGTCACCCTCTATATATATATTTTAATATATTTCAATATTTTAATATTAAAATTATATAACTGATTAAAATTATCAGTATTTA